GAGTGCGCTTTTACGAAGGATATAAACGTCTTTTGTATATTTATAAGTACACGCAGAGCAGGAGTCACAATCGCCTCCATCTGCCAGAGAACACAACCGACTCTCAATGAGGAGCTACAGCTCAGAAACCATTCTTACAGAGAGGAGCTGTAGACCATCTGAACACGTCTCAAACCACAGCACATTTCAAATGCTAAAGGTGCTAATTTTATCCCTTACCTCCTGTTTATGCATGCAAATATATGCAAGGAATCTAATGGTTTAGCTTATTTCAATAGTTTAAAGGCTAATTTGCATTCAGTATATCGCTACATATCGTTACACTGCAAAACAATCTTTCCTTGTGTTTCTGTTTTATGTGAAATCGTGTGTTTTATTGTTATTCCTCTGGGATCTGTGTGAAGAAGAAAATGAAGACCATATTATCATATACAATATAAAATATTATGTCAGAAATCTCACTAAACTAAGCCTTTACTAGCTGGTTAGCTGGTTAGCTAGCTTGTCTAGAAAGAGTAAGTACATACATCAAACACCTGTTTTACAATTAATGTTACAATGAAGACAACTGTGGCTAAAATGTGCACATTTATACTGGGTTCTGTACCTTTTTCCTGCCAGTATTGAAGAAAATGTTTCACGTTTGTTTGTAGGGTATACCCAGTACATTAGCTGAGTTTTACCTGTCGGCTCTATCAAATCAATCAAAGCAGGGAGATGACCAATCACAGAAAGGCGGGCTCAGTCACAGCATATATTCTGAATCTGACCAATTGCAGCAGGGAAAATTTAAATTCTAATCAATAACACTGGGGTAAAGTCAGACCCTGATAAATCACAGCAAAGCAGGTTAATACCCTGATCAATCATAGCAAAACTGGGTTATGACATTCACCAATCACAGCATGGCAGGCTCAGACCCTGACTAGTCACAGCAAGGTATGTTCTGACCCTGACCAATCACAGTAAGGTAGGCTCAGATCCCTGACCAATTACAGCAAAGCAGGTTATGACCTTGACCAATCACAGCATGGCAGGCTTAGACCCTGGCCAGTCACAGCAAGGTATGTTCTGACCCTGACCAATCACAGTAAGGTGGGTTCAGACCCTGACCAATCACAGCATGGCAGGCTCAGACCCTGACTAGTCACAGCAAGGTATGTTCTGACCCTGACCAATCACAGTAAGGCAGACTCAGACCCTGGCCAGTCACAGCAAGGTATGTTCTGATCCTGACCAATCACCGTAAGGTTGGGTCAGACCATGGCCAATCACAGAAAGGCAGGTTCAGACCCTGACCAATCACAGCAAGGTATGGTTTGACCATGATCGTCACAGTAAGGCATGCTCAGGCCCTGACCAATCACAACAAAGCAGCCTCAGACACTGCCCAATCACAGAAAGGCATGTTCTGACCCTGACCAATCACAGTAAGGCAAGTTCTGAATCTGACCAATAGCAGCCTGGCAGATTCCAACCCTGACAAATCACAGGAGGGCACGTTCAAAATAAGACAAAATAAAACATATAAAATAAAATAGAAAAAATAAAACAATGTGTAACTAAATAACGATGAGCTAACACTGTGGAAAAAAGTTAAATTAAAATATTAAAACTCCACCTTCTTCATTGTTTGCTCCTCGGAGGAATGCGCAGTATGTGTTTCTTTCCCACCCGTTTTGCGACAATCCCGCCCCTCCAGCGTTACGATTGGCTAGTAGCTCCTACTCACACGCACACCAAACTAGCCAATCGTAGCACCGGAGGGGCGGGGCTTTAGAAAGCGACTCGAACACTTTTCGTTTCTTATTGCAGTGACTTTCGGTTCATAAAATATGTTGCATCACAACGACAGAATAAATATGGATGACGGGAAAACATTCTTTAAAACAATAACACGGGTTATAAAAACAGGAAGAGAAAAGAAAACAAAACAAAGGAAAAGAAAAAAGGCTCAGGAGGCTTCATAATCATCATAAACTCTAATCATTTGTAAACTTTTTTATATTTGTTTAGCATTCTTACTGAGAAAATGTGCATTTGTGTGTATTTAACCATAAAAATAATCAAATTTACACTGAACTCCACATCTGGACCTGCATATGAGCTTGAGACACTGGTTCTATATAGAACCGTGAACACTCAAAGAACCATTTGCAAGCTCAAATGGTTCTCTGCGTGGTGAAATGGTTCTTCAGATTGATGGAGAATGTGCCGTATATGATATGTTGTATAAGGTTATTTATGTATGTACTACACACTTGAAAAAGATGTTTTTTCAAGGGTTCTTTAATAAAGACAATGGTTCTATATAGAGCCATGAACACTCAAAGAACTATTTGCATGATTAAATAGTTCTTCTGGTTGATGGAGAACGTGTTGTACTTATGTGATTATATATACAGCCCTTTTGAAAATGGTTCTATGCCGCACCAAAAAGGGGTTCTTCTATTGTTACAAGTCTGACATCTTAACAATAGACAAACGCTTTTTGGTTCTATATAGAACCCTTTTCCAAAAGGTGCTATATAGAAGCATCTACAGCTCATTCTGCATTGGTCTGAAGAACACTTGCATGATGCAAAGAATAAATCATGCAAATGGTTCTTTGAGTGTTCACAGTTCTATATAGAACCACTGTCTCAAGCTCATGTGCAGGTCCAGATGTGGAGTTCAGTGTAAATATTATTATTTTAATGTGTAAATACACACAAATGCACATTTCACAGTAAAAATGGTAAACAAATACAAAAAAGTAAAAAATTAGTAGAGTTTATGATGATTATGAAGCCTCATTAGCCCTTTTTCTTTTCTTTTGTTTTCTCTTTTCTTCCTTTTTTTTATTTGTAATTTTATTAAAGCTGCACAAAAATAAAGAACATCCAGTTGGGGAGAGAGAAGAAAAAGAAATAAACTGAAAAACTAAATACAACAATGAAATAAATAATGACCCAGAGAAACATCAACAAAATAAAGGAGATGAAAAAGACAATAAGACTGTACAATAATATACTTTCATATCGCTGATATATCTCCAAAACAGTAACTTTATAGGAGAAAGAAAAAACATACTTTACTTTTAATGTAAGTCAATGGAACCTGACATCTTTTCACGTCATTTTGGTCCATTTATCATGAAATTTACACACAATGTAAAAGGCAACAGGTATTTTCACGTAATATCAAAAACTGAAAAATCACAAAAATGGAGATACGAGGTTTTGTTCCGACAGCAGCGATATAACACTCTGCATCTTTGATAAAGTGCACCTTACACCTGCACACTCTTAAAAACATGGTTCTTCAAGGGTTCTTTAGTAAAGACAGTGGTATAGAACCATAAACACTCAAATAACTATTCTGCATGGTGAAATTGTTCTTCAAATCAATGGAAAATGTGCTGTATATGGTTCTATATAGCATCAAAAAGGGTTCTGCTGTTGGTACAAGCTTGACATTCCAACAGTAGCAGAACCATTCTATATAGAACCATATACAACACATTCTCCATCAGTTGTTTCCCTGATGGGTTGATAACACAGTGGAAAGAACTCTAACACAGAAACAAAAGGGTTCTAATCAGAACCACATACAACACATTCTGCATCAATCTGAAGAACCATTGTCTTTACTAAGGAGCCCTTGGAGAACCACCTTTTTAAGCAAAAAAGGATAGACATCGTAAGTGGGTCAGGGTGGGAACAAGAACCGCTTCAACATGCACCATGCAAAAGGTTCTTAGAGTGTTCGTGGTTCTATATAGAACCACTGTCTTTAGCAAAGAACCTTCGAAGAATGATTTTAAGAGAGTGTTTAGTACTTTGAGTCAAATGCTTTCATTTTTTTTAATGATGCAATCGTTCATAACAGTTATAACACACATCACATCACACACATCACTGCTACACTAAATGGGTGAATCAACAACAGCAAAATAATCTAAATAACAGAGTGAAATTCAAACAAACAAATAAACAAAATACATCAAAAACTCAAAAAATGTTAATAATCAGACGTTGGGGGAGTTAAAATATTTCGAAGCTCCAGATTTCTGAGGAAAGTATTGCTTATCTTATCACTTACCATTTTAAGGGAAGTAATCCAAGGTTCCATTTCCTTTTTGAGAACCGCCAGAATTGAACTAGAAATTTTGTATTTATGAATAAAATGATTTGCAGATAAAATAAAATAACTGACATCATATTCAAGAGCAGCATCAGAATTTATGTAATAACAAAAGATATTTTTCATGGTGAGGGTGTGAAGAAAAAGAAAAACATCACTGCTGAAAAAGGACCATTAGGATTAAAACCTGATGGTTTTGCTTTCTAATGGGAATTGGCTTCATGGTTTCAAAAAGAGACCACCTGTTTCCTGTAGAACACCTTTAGATCCCATTAGGAAACCATCAGATGCGTTTAGAATCAGCCACTAGTCACCTGTTAAACCACTAGGATCCTTTACATTGTGATATCAACCCATTAAAAAAAGACAAAACACTTTACAAAACCATTAGGAACTAACAGAAACATGCCCATACTATTAGAAACAAGGACATCCATATTAAACATACCTGCAGACACATTTTTTTAAAGAAAAGCACTTTTAAAGAAAAACAAGTATGTCCAAAATATTAACTTTACGAGAGAAGGAAAAAACACTCCTACCTTTCAATCTAAGTTAATGTGAAGAGATTTTATTCATTTTGGAGCATTTCTATTGGTCCATTCATCATGACATCACACAACGTAAAGGACAGCTGGTGTGTTAAAATGTGGAAAAATAAATGATGGACATTTCTTTGGGCAGCGACAATATTCAACAACATCGACTAAACACAAGGAAAAGGATAAAATAAAATGTAAAACTACAGTGTCAACACTTTCATACTTCCAGCAAACGTACCTCCATTATGTACCGAATCCGAGTCTTTTTTATTGCTGCGTTAAAAAGTCGAACGCTTTCATCTCCGGGACGAGCTGCTTTGTGACGTTTGAAGTAGAGCTGGCCAATCGCAGTGCAGGGGGCGGGGCTTGTAGGAATACGGGTGTGGGGAAGTGGGGAAAAAAGCTCCAGCGTGCGGAATGCGGCGCGCTGCTGCTGCTGCTGCTTGTCTACTGCGAGAAAAGAAAAAGGAAAAAGAAAAGAGACCCGGAGAACATTAGAGAACGTTACCGGACTGCCGAGAACTTCTCCGCACCGGGCCGCTCATCGGACTCGCACGGGACTTTCCACCGCTCCTCCGCAGCCGAAGGTGAGTGGAAAAAGTAGATAGTGTGAGATCGAAGTTGGGCTTGTTTTTCAGCGCGGAGAGCAGAAGCCGGCTGGCCGAGTCAGAGCGTCCTTTCCTCCGTCACAGCCGGCCGGAGCGCCCGCTGCCTCCGCCGGGGGGCTGGGGCACTTCCAGCTCGGTCTGTTTCAGCCTGTATTGCGGCTGTTGGTGCTATAGCTCATTAATATCGTTGTATTGATCAATTCCAGCCTGTTTAAAGTCAGCAGAGTGTTTCTTTCCACATCCAGTAGTAGATGTCCAACGTCAGCAGGCTGAAGTTTGCCCAGTTTGCCCAGCACGAGCCTTTTCCCTGCTTTTTCTGAGCTCGTGCAAGCATTAAAACACTGCTTTGACCCACTTTTCTGGCGGCTGGGTGAAGCACGCACACCGACAGGGGGGTTTTGGTGTTTGTCTTGGGAATATTTGAGGTTTTTCTGGAACAGGAAAAGTCACCCTCCTCCTTCGAGAACAATGAGGCTGATCCTGAGTCTGGGAGGAGTGGAAGGACTTTCAGGACTTTCTGGAGCTCGGAAGCTTGGTCAACACCTTTAACACCTTCAGCACCTCGGATTCTTCAGCTAAACCTGTTTTTTTGAGGCCCGAGGCAGAAGAAAACTGATCCAGAGTCCAGGCCGGGCCTTCAGGATCAGCTATATCTCAACTTGACCCCTATCCGTGTTGACAGTCAGGGCTGGAGAGGGTTGAGGTGTCCACTGCTGGACTTAACGTGATGACAGGCTCTGTCATGAAGTGATTAAAGAGGGAATTTCACCCATTTTTCTAACTGTCTGCGTGATTAAGTGGTTAAGATGTAAACAGTCGTTTGGAGTGGTTTGGTGTGAAACGCTCAGTTCTAGAAAAACTTACTGAGTCAGAATTGTTCACAGTGGTGGTGATAGGAACCAGACGTCCACCTCTAAAAGCTTCCTCACAGAAAGTTACTCCACGAAATGGTTATGAATTCACTGCCTGATGTCTGAGACACTGTTTTATGATAGTTTGGAGAAGATTTTGGGCCTAAAATTTGATTTTTAAAAATACATTTCATTGGTGAAAGTGTACGCGAGTCAATATTGTTCACAGTGGCGTTGATAGGAACCAGATGTCCACCTTTAAAGGCTTTAAGAAAGTTTAGGGCTAAAACTTAAAAGAATCTAAGTTCTTCCGTTACTCCAGATGTAGACGATCAGCCAAGACAACTTTGGCTTCTTTGGTCTAGAACTGGAGCGGCGAGGCTAACACTGCTAACACTAAAACGCAGTAGGCACCCAAAATGTTTCCGCAGAACCTTTTTCAAGGTCTTCATTAAGGCCAACTTGTAGATGAGGTTGAGGACACAGCGTGACTGAGCTCTGTTTACATCTCTTACACTGAATTATGAGTTAATTTTGGAAATATATTCCCCTTTAAGGCTCTTTTGGGTTTGAAACAGTTCAGGATGTGAACATGCTGGCCCACATTTCATCACGGATCTCAGAGGAAAAGTGCTGATCTCAAATCATGTAGGTCAGTCTAGTGCCTGGGTTTGGGGGGGTGCTGTTACTTTGGATCAGTATATCAGCGGATGGATGATGTTTTTCATGGTAGTGAGGGTGCAGTAGAACCGCTTTTGGAACCTCAGTGGATGGTTTGAAGAGCCTTCACTTAACGTAATGGTTCTGCACTTCTTAAACTAAGTAGTGAGCGATAAACAAACTTCTGTATTTGAGTGAAAATAGAGATTTTGAGGGGACAATGTGACCTAAAAGTAGATGTAATCTTTTTAGGGCTGGGTAGTTTGACAATATTTTATCAGAACATATATTGTGGATATGGTCAGTACTTAAAGAACGCTGAGGAGCTTAATATAGCACTGTGTGTGAAACGTTAAACAAAAATCACTGTATTTACTGTTTTGGTATTTTTTGCATGTGGTTGTTTTTTAACTTTTTAAACCTCAGAAAAAAATATTGTGATGCATATTGTAAAAATGCCTTCAAGGATCACGAATACCACATTTTTGCCACATTGCCGACTGCTAACTGGTCTATATGAGAATATAACTGATTTAGCTATTCAGGTTTGCAGCCGCACAAGTCTCCAAAATAGAAACGGTTCCTTAAAATAGTTTTTAAAAATTATTAAAAATATGTTGTAACGGTTATAAATCACAGTACTTTGACTTTTAATACTAAAGTACAGTTCAAAACATCATGACAGCAGGACAGTGAGAGCAGATCTGCAGTATTTACACTGTATTTACTCAGAACCTCTAGATAACTTTGAAAAATTTGGGCAAAATGCTGCTGTAGCTGAATCGTGTTCTTTAAAGTTTGAGTGAACTGATCAGAGGTCAGCGCCCTTATTCTGGGAAGATAAGGGTCAGCGTGTTGGATAGAAACACTTGTAGGTCAGCTGTTTCTGAAATTGTAGGGCTCCAACTTTTTCTCTCCCGATTTTGATGTCTGAACTCATTTTGGACTAGCGAAGTGCGTACATGTACACACAGTAAGCAAATAGGGTTCTAGATAATATGAAAAAAGGTTTTTAAAGGGTTTTTTTGAAGAACTATATGCAACAGTTTCTCCATCCTAGAGAGGAACCATTTAACAGCGCAAAGAACCATTTAGATATTCAGATGGTTCTTTGAGTTGTGATTCTGTATATAAACTGTTGCCTTTACTAAGGAAACTTTGAAGAACCTTTGAATGCTTTTGTTTTTGTGACAGTAGAGGCTGATGTATCATAGTGGAGAAGGTTATATGATAATTTTTAGGACTGCAATTTTTTGAGATGATCTTGTTCTAGAACCTTTATAAAATTGCGTTATTAAAATTTTATAGCGACAATGATGACAGAAGTGTTATTGACAATCATATTTTACTGCTGCTAAAACACAATTATTATCAGGATATCAAATAATTTTGGAATCTTTAAAGTCATTACTCAATTACTTATTTGCCTAATTGGCTCATACAGCCATCATTCAGAGTTCCATATGCGTAAGTGATTTCTTTTGTTATGGTGCGTTGAAATGTAGTCATATCGCCACCTACACTTCCTGTAGTGTATTACAGTCTGTCAGAATGACTGTGTGGATCATATGAACATTACAGAGCGCTTTTTAAATGAAACAATAGAAGTCATATCGCCCCCTACACTTCCTGTAGTGTATTACAGTCTGTCAGAATGACTGTGTGGATCATATGAACATGGACATCTTAAACTATTGTCATAATCAAAGTCATCAGCGAACTGATGAACTGTGTGGGCTGATGATGCAGCAGTGCTGTAGAGGACTCAGTCACGGTGAGCTGGCTGTCTGAGGCGGAGTGTGTGGTGCTGTAGGCTGTGTACACACACTCAGAGTGTGTTTTAGAGGACGTCCTGTACTGTGTCTCAGTGGAGAGAGAGCTTCAGGCCTTCAGCATATTGCCTTAATGAAAATTGTTATAACAGAGTGTACTAGGCCTTGGGGTGATTTTTCTCTTTAAAGGGGAATTCCACTGAATTTTCGAAATTTTGCATAATTGCATAATTGAGGGTGAGAGATGTAAATAGTCATTTTGAGTGTTTTGGTGTGAAATGGTTGATTGTAGAGACTCACAAAAGAAATATAGACATTTTATTTACTATCCAAAAACACCAATAAACCTACATGTGTCTTCTGAGTTTTATATGGAATGTTGATGATGGAAAATAATGGAGAATCTGAAAATAATAACGTTTCTATTTTGCCTCACAGCTCCCTACATGAATCCTTCCACCATGAATGGAGTTTAAGGCAAAAATCTCCTCAAAACTATCATAAAACAGTGTCTCAGACATCAGGCAGTGAATTCATAACCATTTCATGTAACAACTTTCTGTGAGGGAGCTTTTATAGGTGGATGTCTGGTTCCTATCACCACCACTATGAACAATAGATGTGATTATGTGATTTCTGACAGTGGATGACATGCTGTTATCTATAAACATGGGCTAAAGTATGCCAGCATAGCCATAAAATCTGAATTTCCATTTTCTCCGTTCTAGAGAAACTTACCAAGTCAGAATTGTTCACAGTGGTGGTGATAAGAACCAGACGTCCACCTCTAAAAGCTCCCTCACAGATTGTTGTTACATGAACCGGTTATGAATTCACTGCCTGATGTCTGAGACAGTTTTACGATAGAGAACTTTTTGGGAAACTCCATTCATGGTGGAGGGATACATGCAGGGCGCTGTGAGGCAAAATAGTCCCCCAAGAAAACGTATTATTTCAGATTCTCCGCTATTTTCCATCATCAACATTCCATATAAAACTTAGAAGACACGTGTAGGTTCACTGGTGGTTTTGGATAGTAAATAAAATGTCTATATTTGTGTTGTAGTCATGGCGACCCCTGGTTCCTATCACCACCACTGTAAAGAAATCTGAACCATTTCACACCAAACCACTCTGACAAACCCTGAATTATGCAGTACATTTTTGAAAAATGGGTGGAATTCCCCTTTTAAGAATAATCAGAACACACATTTCACACAGAAGCGCCCTGTTGCGTGTATGTACTGCGTGTATGTGCGTATAAATGCCTTTGTTCTGGTTCAGCCAGGCCGGCTCAGCGTGGAGCTCCAACATGCACTCACACGTGCTGTAGCTGCTAACTCTGGAGCGTAACTGCAAAACCATCAGTGGTTCAGCCTTCAAGTCTGGAACAGGTCAAGGCAGGTCTCTTTATTCTTCTTCTTCTCCTCTCCCTCTGTCTGTCTCTCTCTCTCTCTCTCTCTCGCTCTCTCTCTCTCCCTCTCTCGCTCTCTTTTATGGTTCCCAGCTGGCTGATTAGCCTAGCGTAGCTGCGGTTGAAGCTACTGCCGCAGCTGGAGGGCTCTTTGCTTCTGCTCAGCGTTTCACCTGCTTTATCCACCAAAACCAGGATCATCCTGAACCCCTGAAACACGCGGGGGGAGTTTGGCAAAGCAGGGATTCTCAGTTCAGCTGGATATTTTAAGCCCAGCGTCAG